TTAACGCAGCTCTCTTGATAGATTTCATCTTACGAACACTTTTAGTTTGCCACGGAAATATGGACCGTTTTTATTTGTTATCGCTTAAAATTAAGTTTTGAATTATCAACTTTTTATACAGGGTAAACGCTCCTATAGTTGCTGTACGTTAGAAGCGTTAGGTTCCTATAGTCCATACACAACTATAGGAACCTAACGCTTCTAACGTACCGCAACTATAGGAGAGTTTCCCCATTTCCCAACAAGTTTCGTTTCACTATATGTTTTTATTGCAGACAGTATGTAGGTTTGTTGATTCTATGCAGTGTTGTAGTTTAGTTTAGCTTTATTATAGAGACTTTCAGCACCTGCGTCATTCCTTGCACAGTTATAGCACTTTCTAACTTTATGCTACCCTATTTTTGACTGCATATAGAGGAGGAGGTGGCTTAGATTTTGTACTAAAAAGTTTGGACAGTTTGGTTAGCGCCAATTCATAAATGAGTGAATAGGGTCGCGAGTTTTGCTTTTTTCTTTACAAAAACCAACCAAACTGCTAACCCGCATAATCGAAATCCATAATCGATGGATTTCTGGTATCATATTTTACGATAAAAATCAATAAGTAGGGGAAACAGCCTTATTGTTGTGGTACTGTTGGCCCACCCTATTAGGCCAGCGCGAACACCTTCAACCCATACACTGTGGTGGTGACAGCATCACGCGTAGCGCGCTGCTGCGGTGGTTCCGAGTACAGCGAAGTGACAGGTAATTGTCACGTCTGGTGAGTACAGTTGAGAGAACGGCAGAACAAAAGGAAAAAGGTGTAAACACGATGGTTTCATGCCAAGAAGTATGCTAATTTCTACAGAGTGTTAATCTTAATTAATAGGTGTATTTATATTACTTAAAGCTAGTGTATAAACCTAAACTAGTGTAAAGTAACTACGATCAAATTGGTAAGGAGTTATATATAAGTTCAAACTTATAACTAAAAGATATCAACTATTTACATTTAGGACCTACAGCTAACCTTATACCTTTGTCATCACTACGTCTGAGCTACACCCGATGTACTGAAGTAGCTACCAGAATCGGTAAGAGTAATTTCTCTGAAAGCTCCTAGAGATGAAGACGATAAATTTATATGAGGAAAAACAAAAAAAAAAAAAAAACTATTAGCTAAAACTATTTATATGATTACCAGGCCTTACTGCTAAAACTATCAGCTGCTCTATTGATTGGATTGAGGTTGAAATTTACAAAGGGAACTTAACGTAAGTAACCTAAAATTACATTAAACTTACAACAAGTTCGTACCATTGCCTAAGCTAATATGCAAGCTAGAGCAAAATGATACCTTAACGCTAACATACAACTAAAACTATTATACGAATGGAATCTAATGAAGATTATGTATTCTACCTACTACTTAGGAAAATTATATTCTCGCTATATCAACAATTGGATTCTATTTATTCATTTGTATCCGGGCGGGAATAATAACTTTGGAAACGTCCCGTTGAATTAAATTCAACATTATATAATTTTCGTTTATCACGAATACCGATCAGTTCGCGAGCATGTCAAGTTGCGGTTCACAGTCCGATGGTAGCAAGAGTGTGCAGCCCAAACCGGTAGAAAGTGGTGTGGTTAGTGACAGTGATACGGAGAATGGTAGTGATGATGTGGTAGTGGTGGACGAGACGGAGAAGACCGCCGATGGACAAACCTGTAGGAGCTGTGGAGGACCTGATACCGACGAAATGGTGCAATGTAATCAGTGTGACGGATGGCATCACTACGATTGTGTTGGAGTTATCAACCAGAGCTGGAGCTGTACCAACTGCAAGACTGCAAAATGGATCCAGCGAACTACGATTTCTTCAGACAAACGATCAACACCGAAGGATACCAGAAAGGAGCATACATCTAAACGCACTTTGTCGGCAAGGAAGTCACAACAACTACGCCTATTCGTTCATCCAGTGGTAAGAACAAGTCCACTCAGTCCGAACCTCCGGTACAATCCAGATCCATCGATAATCGCTCAGTTCCAGAATCACATCCGTCGAAAAAGCAGTCAGACCTAGCGCCGTTGGAGAAGCCAGAACCTGTCCTTCAGTGGAATAATCGCAACGTTCAACGGAAGGAGAAACTCTTCGTGCCGTCAGTGGATGGACTTCCGGAAATCTTGTTGGAGAAGGCATTTTCAGAAGTGTCCTGTTCATCGTCGCAGAGATCCGCACGAAATCGTGCCCAGTTACAGCTACTCAAGCTGCAGGAAGAAAGGGAGTTTGAAGAACGGCAAGCAGAGCGTCGCAGACAAGAAGAAGCAGAACTTCGGCGAGTAGCTGAACTGCAAGAAGTAGAACAACACAGACAATTCCTAGCCAAGAAGTACAAGATTCTGCAGGACTTGGCTAGTGAAAAGGGGTCGAGTCGGAGTTCCAGTTCTATAATTTCTCAACGTCGGGTGGAAGAATGGGTTAAAACTGCCAGTTGTACGCAGTTGAAGACAGTTAAGGGCTCATCCGATGCTGTTGCTCAACAACAAGCTCTACAAGAGGAAAAGCGACAAAAACAGATGCAACAGGAACAACTTCAGCATCGCAAACAACAAAACCAAGTTTGTCATCAACAACAGCAAGAACAGTTTCATCAAGAACTACTAGTCGAACAGCAGCAACGACAACAGCAGTCACAGCAGGAACATCTGCGGCAACAACGTCAAAGACAGTTGCAGAGAGAAGAAGAATTCCGGCAGTACCAACAGCAACAACGCCAAGAACAGTTCCAACAGGAGAAACTTCTGCGCGAGCAACAGCAACATTTACAACAGGAAGAGGAACGCATCAACCGATTGCAGGAACTGCAGTTGCTAGAGGAAATACGTCTGCGTGAACAAGAACTAGCAGCAAATCGTAAACAATCTGGGTATCGAGTGCCTTCCGGACAGACTCCTGCGCTGCAACACAACCTTTTTCAAGAAAACCGTGGAACGGGCAACCAGTGCCGGGATTCAGGACGTGGGCAGTCAGGAAATTTCAGTCCGGAAGCTCTGCCTCAATCAACGCAACTTCAACCCGAGATAAATCACCCGAGCAGGTCGGCAGTGGATCCAAATCAATCTATTCACGGCACACCGCGTACTACACGAGGAATTCCACGATAGTGGAAGAAGACTACGATCAGTTCCAGCTTTCACGCTCCCAGATTGCAGCACGGCAAGCAGTTTCGAAGGATTTGCCTACATTCTCCGGCAATCCAGAAGAATGGCCGATCTTCTTATCCATGTTTAATAGCACGACAGCTATGTGTGGATTTACGGAAGAGGAGAACTTGGTGCGGCTGCAAAGGAGTTTGAAGGGGAAAGCTTATGAAGCCGTCATGTGTAGACTGATGCATCCAGGAAACGTACAAGGAGTTATGGATACGCTGAGGATGTTGTTCGGTCAACCGGAAGTCATCATTCACTCACTGATTGGGAAGATAAGCTCGCTGCCACCAATTCGAGAAGATCGACTGGAAACTTTGGTGGATTTCGCAGTGAGCGTGCAGAACTTTTGCGCTACAGTTGAATCATGCGGTTTGGAAGAGTATATGTATAACGTCACCCTGTTACACCAGCTCGTCAGCAAACTGCCACCGACCATCAAGCTAACATGGGCGCAACATCGGAAACCGTACCGGTTAACCTGGCGACCTTCAGCGAATGGGTGTACAATCTAGCAGAAGCTGCAAGTTCGGTAACGTTCCCTACTGTATCGCTGGAAGCAATACCTGGCCACAACGATATTCGTAGAAGCAAAACGGGCTATCTCAATGCACACTCTGAGACTATAGTTCGTCACGACGCGAAGCCAAATACGTTTCCGAAAGCAGTAGCAGATCCTGCACCAGCACCAATCAAGGAGATGTGTCTAGTGTGCAAAGGGACCTGCAAATCTGCCGACAAGTGCAAGAGATTTCGAGAGTTCTCCAGGGATTCCAGATGGGCCGTAGTCAGGGAATTCGGACTTTGTCGCACGTGCCTTCGCCAACACAAAGGAAACTGCAAGGCGAAACCATGCGGCAAGGACGGATGTACATACAGGCATCATGAACTGCTACACAACGACCAGAAAGAGAAGATCCAAACTCCGACCGGAAATCAACAGTCGTCTCAACCTGAAGCTGGCAGCTCTGGACATAACTGCAACACACATCAGACCACATCTAGCTCTGTGTTGTTCCGTTATCTGCCAGTGGTACTTTCAGGACCTGGCAAGGAGGTATATACCTATGCCTTTCTAGATGAAGGCTCTGCGCTGACGCTACTGGATCAAGAACTGGCTGACGAGTTGAAGTTAAGTGGAACCTCGAGTCCACTCTGCCTACGTTGGACTGGAGGAACTCAACGCTACGAGAAGGACTCCCGTATTGTCATGCTTAACGTTGCTCCACGGCATCACGAAGCTAAGAAGTTCCATCTAGAGGATGTGCGAACAGTGAATAAATTAATGCTGCCACATCAAACTCTAGATCTCGACGAGCTAGTGCACTTGTACCCTCACCTCAAAGGGTTGCCAATTGAGTCATACCATGACGCTCGTCCACGCATATTAATTGGAATGAAGCATGCTCAACTGGGACTGACGTTGAAGAGCCGTGAAGGTAAATTAGGCCAACCGATCGCGATGAAGACACGACTAGGGTGGACTGTTTGCGGAGGATTGTGTTCCGAAGAGACACCGAATATGTTCCATTACACATTCCACGTACGCTCATGCAGCGAGGAATCCGACGAAAAACTACATCAAGCCATGAAGGAGTACTTTACCCTTTATAGTCTCGGAGTTATAAAGCCTGCTAAAGTGCTTCAATCGTCCGAAGATGAGCGAGCTCAATGACTCTTGGAGTCCCGTACACGTTTCAATGGTGAGCGTTATGAGACAGGCCTGCTTTGGCGATATGACGACATCCGTCTGCCCGATAGTCGAGAGATGGCACTACGTCGCCATCAGTCCTTAGAAATACGTATGGCGAAGGTTCCGCAGTTGTCGGAAGTACTACAGCTGAAGATTGCCGACTATACTGCAAAAGGATACGTTCGCAAGCTGTCCGATGATGAAGTTAAGCAGCAATCTGCTCACACATGGTTCCTACCAGTATTCCCAGTCACAAATCCAAACAAACCTGGAAAAATGAGGATAGTGTGGGACGCGGCTGCCAAAGTTCACGGAAAGTCTCTGAATTCTGCTCTACTGAAAGGACCGGATCTACTGTCTTCTCTTTTTGCGATTCTGCTTCGGTTTCGCCTGCATCCTATTGCAGTAACTGGAGATATCCGTGAAATGTTTCACCAGGTGCTAATCCGCGAGGAAGATCAACGATACCAGTGCTTCTTTTGGACGAATGGAAATGGAAACCTCGTAGTGTACGCAATGCGAGTCATGACCTTTGGGGCGTGCTGTTCTCCGAGTAGCGCTCAATACGTGAAGAACGTCAACGCGGAGCGGTTCAAGAATGAATACCCAGCCGCATACGAAGCCATCACAAAGTCACACTATGTAGATGACATGCTGATCAGCGTTGCCAACGAGGAAGATGCGATTCAGACTGCAAAGGACGTTAGGTACGTTCACTCACAAGGTGGGTTCGAGATCCGAAACTGGATCAGCAATTCCAGACAAGTGACATCAGCGCTGCAAGAAGAAAACACGGAGGAAAAGAGTCTCGATCTATCGTCAGAGTTATCCACTGAGAAGGTCCTAGGCATGTGGTGGAATACAACGTCTGACACATTCACCTACAAGGTCGGTTGGAATCGTTACGATGGAGCTCTGCTGAAAGGTCAACGACGGCCCACTAAGCGTGAAGTTCTACGAGTCCTCATGACTATATTTGACCCACTTGGACTGATCGCACACTTCCTAGCCTACCTGAAAGTCTTGTTGCAAGAGATCTGGCGATCCGGTATTAGCTGGGACGAAGAAATTGGTGAAGATGCGTTCGCGAATTGGCTCACCTGGCTGAAAATCTTGCCCAAAGTTGAGAACGTTCAGATTGCTCGGTGCTACAGTACCAGATATCCGTTCATCGAAGCCGATGAAGTACAGCTACACACCTTCGTAGATGCCGGAAAAAATGGAATGGCAGCTGTATCATTTCTTCGATTTGTCAAGAATGGGACGATCCACTGCTCTCTCGTCACCTCTAAAGCCAGAGTAGCACCATTGAAGCTCACTTCGATTCCTCGACTGGAGCTGCAAGCAGCGGTGATAGGGACACGTCTCATACGATCATTGAGACGCTGTCTATAATCATCACGAGAAAGTTCTACTGGTCGGACTCAAGGGATGTTTTGTGCTGGATCAACTCCGATCATCGACGGTACACTCAATTTGTCGGGTTTAGAGTCACGGAGATTCTGGAAGCTACAGAAGCGCACGAATGGCGATACGTATCAAGCAAGTTGAACGTAGCGGATGATGGTACAAAGTGGGACGTACAGCCTGATCTATCTCCTGAGAGCAGGTGGTTTAAAGGACCGGACTTTCTCTGGACAACCGAGGACAAGTGGCCACAGTCAGCAATCCGGAACGAACCGACAGACGCTGAACTCGTGGCAAATCTTTCAGTCCACTACGCTCTCCCAAAACCAATCGTTTGCGTCTCGGACTACTCCAGCTTTGAACGATTGAGAAATGTTGTCGCACGTGTGCTACGGTTCACAACAAACTGCTGCTCCAAGCAACGGAAGCAGCCGATTAAAACGGGACCTCTCATCCAAAACGAACTCTACACAGCTGAAGCATACCTGATTCGGCTCGCACAGCAGGAAGGTTATCCTGAAGAACTAATCATCCTCCGAGGTACACCACAAAACGCAGGGGAACCAACAACAGTGCTCCCGAGATCCAGTTCACTGTACAAGCTGACACCGTGGCTTGACGAACATGGAATACTGCGCATGAGAACTCGTATCGCCGCTTGCCAGTACACCACTGAAGACGCAAAGAAACCCATCATCTTACCACACAAACACCACGTCACTACCTTAATTGTATCACACTACCACAAGAAATACCACCACCAAAACCACAAAACAGTGATAAACGAACTGCGGCAGAAATACCAAATCAGCCGCATACGCTCGTGCTTCAACCAAGCACGCAGAGATTGCCAAAAATGCATGATCGAACAAGCAGCACCAAATCCTCCATTTATGGCCGACCTACCTCCTGGTCGTCTAGCAGCATTCTCACGCCCGTTCACACACACGGGAGTCGATTACTTCGGCCCAATTGAAGTCGTCGTTGGAAGGAGGGTCGAGAAACGCTGGGGAATGCTAGCCACATGCTTGACCGTTCGAGCGATACATATTGAAGTAGTTCACTCGCTGACCACTAGTTCCTGCATCATGGCAATCCGCAATTTCGTCGCTCGGCGCGGAAAACCCCGTAAATTCTACAGTGACCGGGGAACTAACTTCGTCGGAGCGGATCGAGAGCTGAAGAAGCTTGAAGAAGTGATCAACCATGACGAGATAATGAAGGAGTTCACTAGTTCTGAGACCGAGTGGGTGTTCAATCCTCCGCTGGCACCACACATGGGTGGAAGTTGGGAGCGGCTAATACGAACAGTAAAGAGCAACCTGATGGCTGTCTGCATAACTAAGAAACCGTCCGACGAAGTGCTGCGAAACACTCTAACCGAAATAGAGAACGTAGTAAACTCCCGGCCACTCACGCACGTGCCGGCAGACGACGATTCTGCTCCGGCTCTCACCCCGAACCATTTCCTACTCGGTTCATCCAACGGAACGAAACCACTGGTCAAGAGTGACGACTGCCATCTCGCCCTGAAGCAGAACTGGTGCACCTCTCAGATTCTGGCCAACCTGTTCTGGAAGCGGTGGGTAACTGATTATCTTCCTGAAATCACTCGTCGGTCCAAATGGTTCCAGTTTGTTAAACCGGTCGCTAATGGAGATGTTGTAATTATCGTCGACCCTAAGATGCCCCGGAGCTGCTGGCCAAAAGGAAAGGTCATCAGTACGATTTCTAGTAAAGACGGTCAAGTTCGATCCGCAATCGTACAAACATTCACCGGTGTCTACGAACGTCCAGCAGCCAAGTTAGCAGTGTTGGATGTTCAGCGCGTCGAGTAGTAAGCCCACCGGAAGTTGGCGTACTCTGGAGGGAGTGTTGGCCCACCCTATTAGGCCAGCGCGAACACCTTCAACCCATACACTGTGGTGGTGACAGCATCACGCGTAGCGCGCTGCTGCGGTGGTTCCGAGTACAGCGAAGTGGCAGGTAATTGTCACGTCTGGTGAGTACAGTTGAGAGAACGGCAGAACAAAAGGAAAAAGGTGTAAACACGATGGTTTCATGCCAAGAAGCATGCTAATTTCTACAGAGTGTTAATCTTAATTAATAGGTGTATTTATATTACTTAAAGCTAGTGTATAAACCTAAACTAGTGTAAAGTAACTACGATCAAATTGGTAAGGAGTTATATATAAGTTCAAACTTATAACTAAAAGATATCAACTATTTACATTTAGGACCTACAGCTAACCTTATACCTTTGTCATCACTACGTCTGAGCTACACCCGATGTACTGAAGTAGCTACCAGAATCGGTAAGAGTAATTTCTCTGAAAGCTCCTAGAGATGAAGACGATAAATTTATATGAGGAAAAACAAAAAAAAAAAAACTATTAGCTAAAACTATTTATATGATTACCAGGCCTTACTGCTAAAACTATCAGCTGCTCTATTGATTGGATTGAGGTTGAAATTTACAAAGGGAACTAAACGTAAGTTACCTAAAATTACATTTAACTTACAACAAGTTCGTACCATTGCCTAAGCTAATATGCAAGCTAGAGCAAAATGATACCTTAACGCTAACATACAACTAAAACTATTATACGAATGGAATCTAATGTAGATTATGTATTCTACCTACTACTTAGGAAAATTATATTCTCGCTATATCAACAATTGGATTCTATTTATTCATTTGTATCCGGGCGGGAATAATAACTTTGGAAACGTCCCGTTGAATTAAATTCAACAGGTACGTTAACAGCGTTAGAAACCTATTGTTGTGTATGGAGACCTCCATACACAACAATAGGCTTCTAACGCTGCTAACGTACCGCAACAATAGGGCTGTTTCCCCTATATGATTCTCAGAATCGTTAGAAAAACTATAAACGCAACATACCGTAAATCGTTTTCATGATACCGTATATTTTTACTTGCAAAACAATCATTTGGGAAATGGGTGGTTAGGTATAGTTACCATTCAAAAGCGTCAATTTTCAAGATCTACTTTTTTTTAAATGCTACGGAAGATGGTTTAATTGTAATACACTTTTTGTGGGTATACACAAATATTCGATCGCTGTACTGTACTCCTTATTGTTTAATAAAGAAATGAATATTTGGACAACTTTATAAATATGGTTTATCACATTTCCGGAGTGCTTTGAGATTTGGGCGTAGGGGAAACAGTCATATTGTTGCGATACGTTAGAAGCGTTAGGAGCCTATTGTTGTGTATGGAGACCTCCATACACAACAATAGGCTCCTAATGCTTCTAACGTATCGCAACAATACAACTGTTTCCCTTAATTGTATTTGTAAACAAACACGACAATTGCCGGTTTCTCTTGAATTAAAGCTCAATCCCATAAGCAAAATACACCAAATGAGAGAGGAATCATTCCTCTGCCTCAAAGTGTTATAAGTTTTCGAGAGTGAGTGTTTATTCGCGAGAAATCGGCGATTGACGTGTTTGTTTACAAATGCAATTACGCCCAAATCTCAAATAACTCCGGATTTTTAATCAATTAAAAACCATGTTTTTGATCTTCACAACTTGGTATGCGCCGGATGCAACTAATGCTACTTGATTCACATCTACATCGTTCTGCGTTACCGGTGCTCGTCCGAGAATAAGGCTGTAATGGCAAATTCTTCCGCATACCTCATCTTGCACAACCGGTAACAGTAACCATCAGCACTTTTATACGGGACCACGGTTTCCATCATGTAGCAGTAGCGGCCAGCGATGAAATCGCTTGTTCAACGGTACCTTTGGATTGTGATCAAAGAAATAACCCAGAAGCAATGCTCCGAAGTGGGAATGACCAACTTGTTCCAGACGATCCGATCGACGGGGTCTTCCGGTAATACAAGTTAGCAACTTCAAAGGAAGAATTTCACATAAGAAAAGATAAGCAAAGGAAATAATTTCTGTTTAGGGGAATTTACGTATTCTCGTCAATCTAAGCAGCTTCCGCACTTCTATTAGCATTTTCTCAGTGTCACGACCACATATGACGTGTCTGTTTGTTTACATTCATCTGCTGCTAGCTATTCTATCCATTCCAATCAACAAAACCGTCCAAAACGGTTTGAAAACGTTTTTAACGCGGTCCAAACTTCTCAGGTGAGTGTGACTATTGTCGGCAGCCTCTTTTACTTCGGCAACCTTTCCGTTTAAACTGCGTGTTAACCAGCTGTTCTATTATCGGCAACTCGAAATCAGCCGTATTTTGATGTGCTTATGTTTCTTTTGAAGAAACACCTAGCATAACAGGTTTGCTCAGTCGTAAAAATGTATTAGGATTGAAGCTGAAAGACTAAGGAATCGTTTAAATACATTCAGCGAAGTATTTTAGTGAGAAAATACATCGAAATTAACATTTAAATTGTGGTTGCCGAAAACAGTCGATGGCTGCCGAAGCCATAATTTACCCTACCTAGTTTATGCATTCATGAGCCTGGAATGATCTCCTCGGGAGTCACTTCGTTATCACTATATCTGAAAACATCATAATTTGTTGAAATGAGCAATTCAAATTCAATTGAAGCGAGTAGCATAGTAACCAGCAAAATTGTTTCTAATTAAACCAAACCCCTTTGAACTTTGTCAAAATGGCGGTGAATCAACAAGAGCGAAAATCAATGTTTGAAGTTTATTTATTGTTCCAATGATTCATCTGACACATGGATGTCTTAATGAATTTAAAAAGTATAATTAAAACAAAAACAGGACACATTCTAATTCAGGACAGTCTTCTAATAAAAACAGTTAACGGCACATTAAAGTCAAACAATGCATAGACGTCATTAAGCGCATTAGCGACGGCTCGGATAAGTTCATTCAACCCATATTGCCGATTACGAGCTGCGAGGTGTACAAAATTACGCTGTCTAATCACTCTCTCAGGTGCGTAAAAGAAAAGCTGCCGAAGTAATTCGGGGGAATCAATCTTGCTGGTAATGATTTTAGCAGCAAACACAGCTTGAGCGTTCCGTCTTCTTTGTTCCAAGGTGTCAATTCCAAGCAGACGACAGCGATCCACGTAAGACGGCAAGTTAGTCGTGTCACGCCAAGGCAGATGACGAAGCGCGTAGCGAACAAACTTTCTCTGTACACTCTCAAATCTGGCTATCCAGTAAGATTGAACGTACTAACGAACAATACAGCGCCCGCAGGCAAAGCGGATCGCGAAGGTCTTAAGATATTTTGAACATAAAGCCAAGCTGCCTATTAGCTTTAGTCAGGATGTCATTGTAGTGCGGTTTGAAGGTCAATTCACAGTCGAGTATTACTCCCAAATCTTTGACCTGGCTAATCCTCTCTAATGGTTGCCCGGAAATGGAATAATCAAATATTATCGGGTTTTGTTTGCGGTGAAATTAACTCACATTGCACTTGTTGATGCTGAGCGTCAAGAAATTACGGGAGCACCAACTCTGCATACGATCCACAATCAGCTGCAACTCCTCAGCGATGCAATTGATAACCGCATACATTTTGACATCGTCAGTGTAGAATAGCCGACATCCGGGTGGCAGTACACACGAAAGCTCGTTGACGAAAAGCGAAAACTGAAGGGGTCCCAGATTACTTCCCTGGGGAACGCCGGAAACGTTCGTGTACACTTCAGAACGAGAAGCTCCAATCTTAACGCAAAGAGAACGGTTCGTAAGGTATGATATGAACCACGAGATGAAGGATACAGACACTCCGAGTTTCTCAAGCTTGCTCAAAAGAATGTTGAGGTCTACTCGGTCAAATGCAGCCTTGAGATCAGTGTAAACCGCGTCGATTTTTCCGCCAGAGTACATTGTACGAACGCAGAGCAACACGAATTCGGTCAAATTGGTTGTAACTGACCGTTTTATGTAGAATCCATGCTGAGCCGTGGAGATGTAATTTTTACCAGAGCTGAAGAGCGCCTCATTGATGATAATCTCGAATACTTTGGAGCAGCAACATAGTGATGTGATTCCTCTGTAATTCTGGACATTCCTTTTATCACCTTTCTTGTGGACGGGGAACATATACGAAAATTTCCACGCCTCAGGAAATTTACTCTCAGATTAAATAACTTCGCAAAGAGAGTGAGCAACGACTCCAAACACAGCTTCAGAACGGACGCAGGAATGCCGTCTGGCCCGGCAGCAAACGAGAGTTTCAACCTTTGACGGTATGTTCACTGGAATGTGAAACGGACGGAGCTCAAATGCATCTGTTGGAGAATCGTTTATAGCAATCGTGACTTGATTTGGTTTGGCCGAAGATCCCTTGAACGAACTCATGAAATGTTGAGCAAGAAGGCGGCATTTCTCTGGTTCAGCGGTTTGCTCACCGAGATGAACTGACAATGGCAAACCGACTACGTTCTTTTTAGAGTTTACAAACGACCAGAAACGCTTTGGATTTCTGCGAAGAGATGATTGCGTACGGAAGACATATCGTCGATACAGGAATCTGTTGCATTTCTTTTAGTCGTTACTTGTGCGGCTGAACTCCTGCTTCGTAATGTACGAACGATTTTGGCAGCATCTTCAGCCGACGCAAGTGACCGTTAGACCACGGTGGCTTTGGTGCGGGACGGGCAATAGGTACAAATTCAGCCATGATATCCCAATTTCATTTGACTGAAATATTCAACGGCATCGTCAACACATCCAGCTAATTCTAATGGTCGCCAATCGATACCGGAAATAGCAGCGCTAATCGCAACATAGTCGGCTCGACGGAAATCCAGTGTACGATTATTTACGGAACAATCCTCAAAAACGACTGGCGCTGGGAGGTTCATCAGGACGTCTAAAGCAGGGTGGTCTGCATCAAGA